TAACCATTCGGTTAGAAATTTATATGGTTACTGATAGTTATGTGAATTGAACCATTCGATAATTAATAGAATCAGGCGTTACTTTGCGATAAGTAATTTATACCAACTTTAATTTTATTAAACCATTTGATTAAAAATTTTATTCGGTATTGACAATTACGTGCGTATGAGTCGATAACTCTATATAATCAATTGCTAAAAAATTTCATGCCGAAACTCTTGCTTCTAATAATAATCGATTTCATAGCTTTTTAAGTACAAAAGTAACTCAAAAATACACAAATTTTTCTTTATCATCATATTGATTCAATATTATGTTAACGAATAAATAAAAACACCATTTATTGAAATTAAAACTTCAGTTTTTATATTTCTTCAATTAATCAAATAATGAAGATAACAGGTAACAACAACATAAGTATAGCAAACAAACTTTTGTGTGTTTGGAATAAAGTAGTTCTGATGTTAATCGAAATAAAAAAAGATATTAAAAAAATTGATCTGCACTGACATGATGATACATATCAGATACGTATAGCATACAAACAGTGAAAACATCGTACATATCATTTATTATCGCCAAAGATACATCAAACAACTGACAAATGAGATACTGCAAAATAATAAAACGTTTATATCCCTTTACAGCGGAACTCTCAGAAGAGCAATGTAGAACGGTATGAAGAATGTACCCGTCCGCCCAAACTTTCCCTCGTTACAAACTACCTCGCTAATGACACGAATCGGACCTTTTTGCGTGCTGCTCGACCATTCGTCTTTCAGGCGACGTTTGCAGACGGTTTTGCTTGTATATCACCGTTACATAGGGTAAAATCGTCCCTACTACTTATTATGAGAGGAATTAAATTTATTACAAATTAAGATCAAACCTTCGTGTTTAAAATGTGACTTATATGTTAGTTATTTTTAATATAAATGTTTTATGTGAAAAATAAATAAATATAAATAATGCTTATAATATAATATAATATAATAATGGAAAAAGGTGTAATAAGCTTTTGCGACTGATATTCAAATAATTTGTCATACATAGCCCACGCTAACAACTTAAACAATCGAATTGTCTTCAAAACAAATTACTGACCTTTCGATTAAGGCACTCTTTCGCTCGCCCCTGGGCGTTCCTTCACAATCAAAAATTTAAATGAATTCCCTCAGTCTACAGCTTCGTTTTTTTCTTTTAATCCCATTATCGGATGGTATTACTTTTAAATGAATATTCATTAAGAATCGTTTAGAGATAGATTGAAGTTCATATTACGCATGCAGTAATTGATGTTGGCTTTAAATACGAGAATCCGAAATATTTTTCAAGTATACTCGAATCGATTATACTTGAAAAATTTATAAAATTGAAGATATCTTACTCACACTAATACCACAGCGTCAAGTGGTGGACATTTGTTTACCTGAAATCAAACAAAGTTATACTTTAGTACTAATAGAATACAATGAAAATATTGCCTGCTTTAAGTTTCAACTAGAATCCATGACACCACTTCACTCTGTATCTCAAAATCTGGTATAGTAAATGTTGTCCATGGGAAATAAAAACATAATAGAAGAAGAACAATACAACATAAAAGAAAAAAAATACCGGCCAAGTGCGAGTCGGACTCGTACAACTTGTACAAGGGTTCCGAACAAATCCGTAGGTATATAAGTTTAAAATTTAAAAAAATATTTTTAAATTTTAAACTTATATACCTAACGCTTTAAGGTCATTTCTAGAGGTTAGTTTAACATTCGTATCGAAAAAATTTTCAAAAACATGTTTTGGAAACAACTGCGTTCTTAAATAAAGTTTCAAGATTAACATACAGGGATATTTTGCAATATACGGCCAAATTGTCAGAGGTTCAGTATAGGTAATATAAGCGAATGGTGAAAAAAAAAATAAGAAAAAGGCTCAATCATTTAGTCTTTTATTTTTTATAAATTCAAAATGTGGTTACAGATTTTTAGGCATCCATTAAAGGTAAAGACAAGCGCGTCTACCCGCCCCTTTTCTGACGGGTACTTTCGCCCGGCCGTCCACAGTGTTGACTTGACCGTGACCTCATTACGAAGTGCGCTATTTTTACATTTCCGCAGGTAGTATTTTAATTGTTACTTCGTTAGCAATAACGCCACGAAAATATTTGACCCGCGAATACTATGAAATGGTACTGTGTTATATTTTAAACAATGAAAGTTTACGTGGTACGCAAAGATTATACGAAAGTAAGTCTTTACCGCGTTGGCAAAAACACAGAAATAACGCACATGCACCATCCAATCGGTGAACAATTTTGGCAGCAAACCCAAGGCTGTTAATTTTTTTTTATCGTTCACCATTCCTCACATGGAAGTGCTCGAGGTTGTCATTCAGTAATAAGCCCGACTGTCGAAAATGCATTGATCGAATTTTTCGAAAGCGCCAGCACCAAAAATGTAAAAAGTTCGTTGTCGTAGTTTCGTATTGTCGAGGGTGGTGTGTCTTTCCACAATTGCGGGAGGCCGGAAGGTGCTCTTAAAACTAGGGCAGGACACATAATTTTATTTCATTACACTGAAATAAGCAAATTAATTTCTTACAACTTTATGTTGTATGATTATGGTCTCTAGGATCATCAATATAGCATATAAGCTCATTGATTTTAAAACCAGATGGATGTACCCATTAGTGTTATTTAACATTTGACCACAAAGAAATTTAATAATATACTTAAAACATTGTTGCTGTTTTTTTTTTATAGAAATGTAGTAACAATTAATGTTACAGTCCAACCGATGGTGCGGCTACTGCAGTAAGCGGACACCAGCAACCAACTTCAAGCAAAAAGGCTGCAGATGCGTTGTCACCTCGGAGTACTCTCTTTACCCTACTGACCGGAATTGTCTGTCTGAACAGATTTCATCCCCTAAAAAGCAGTGCAAGTACTGCTTTTTGGGGGAAGAAATGGGTTAGAGGGTGTTACCTACCCAAACGGACCCATAGGCAGAAAAGGAGTTCTAGCACCTAGTCCATCACAATTTGCTATCATTATCTTTAAAAAATCTAATTAATAAGTCTTTACCTTGTTTAGAAGAATCAAAAGTTAATGACAAATTAACTCATAAAGCACCTAGATTTTTGTATCTTTTTTTTTTTGGAAATATCTTAAGCCATTGCGTAATAATGTCGTATAAATTTACATTTAGTTTCATAAGAAAAAAATGAACTTGTTAACTTCATAATTTCCGTTTGTTAACAATTTTGTACGTGGTAGAGCCGTGCTGCAGCTATATTATTAGTATAGTTGTAGCACGAATGGATCGGCTCGACCGGGGAAGGACTACGCTCTCATAGAATACCAGCGTAAAATAGCAGTTTAACACTGCTGTGTTTCGTATGGTGAGTGCAGAGAAACAGATACCCTTTTTACTGGAAAAGAGGCATTCTATCTTAGTCCTCACGGGTGACAACGCATCTGCATTTTGATTCTTAATCGAGGATAGATGTAGATGTTTATGGAGTCACAGCAACCACTTACCATCAAGTGGACTATGTGCTCGTTTGTCACCCTAATTATATAAAAAAAAATCTTATAAAAAAACATTGAATTGAAATTATAACTGGCACGTAAAATGAGAAACTAGCTAAAATCTCGCTGACAGGAGTAAAACGCTCCCTTATTACGTCATGCAGTTAAAGTCAGCAGCAGATTTCCCATTGTTGGAAGTCAAAGTTATCTAACTTGAACAAGTTCATAATTTTGACCCTCGGGTACGTAACCGCTACTACTTTATCGACCTAGTTATATTTGGAAGTTCCCAGTGGATTTTGTAAGTTCATGTAAGAAGTTATTACACAAACGCGGACAAAGCTCTCGTTATAGGTCAGTCAGGGGTTTTGACCAGCGATTCCCTGGTGTGCTCCTTAGCAACGTGTGAGCAAATAATAATTATTAAACTTACTCACCCAAACTTTCATATATTTAATCCATAATTTCTATTATCTAACAAGTTAGTTAGTTAGCTAGGATTTTAGACTAACAAAAGAAAGAAAGTTTACAGAGCGCTGCGTAATTTCACATCCACGCATACATCTTTCTTCCTGAATAGCTTAGCTGAATAAACAGTTGCAAGCAGTAGAGAAATTTAAAATATTAAGAAAGCCGGTTAAAGGACCCGAGAATCCGCCAGAAAAGTCTGTTCTGTGTTGCGACGATTTATTGGCAAAAAAAGTCGGTTAAAGGACCCAACGATGTGTTAGAAATAGCGAATTTAAAAAGGGCAGAATTGTTTATTTGAAAGCATTGAAAGAAGTTCACGTTTAAGCAAAATGGCTTTAGAACTAGGAGAAGATAACCTCCTTCGATTAAACGGACGTTTACTCTTTTAGTCTAATTTCACAGAGCAGAGTAGAAAACTTGTCGTATTAGACGGTAAATATAAAATTATTAGAGAAGTTCATCATCATTACGGTCACGCTAATTACCAAACGGTGATGAACGAGGTGAACCAAAATTAAAAAAAACTAAGAGTTTGATTTAATTTGATTAATAAAATGTTTCACATATTTTACAAATACAGTAAAACTAGCTTAATACGATCACGTTTAATACGATTTCTCGTTTAATACGCCATTTTATGTCAGTCCCTGCAACTTGAGACATGTTTTCATACATTTTTAACACGCTTAATACGATACGTCATCCCGTCTAATACGCCATTGGGTCGTAAAAGTTACGTTTGCTAGTGATTGGTAAGGCGAAAAATCCACGTTGCTTCAAAAACGTGAAATCGCTCCCTGTAACATATGATGCACAATCTCGAGCTTGGATGACTGGCCTTCGTTTTATTAACTGGTAAAGCTTTAGATGATCACTTCCAGGTTAAATGTAGACGCATAATTCTCTTCATTGATAACTCTAAACTCTCACCCTAAAGATGTTGAACTAAAGAACATCAAGCTTGTTCTCTTACCTCCGAACGCGACAATCAAGTTGCAACCGATGGATCAGGGCATTATAAAAGTCCTTAAACATGGCTACAGAACACGATTTATACATCGCTATCTTAAGGAAATGGAAGACCCTGACAGTAAATGACCCTTGACTGTACATGACGCGATCCTAAACATTGCAGCGGCTTGGCAAGTAATTAAGCCTGAAACCATACAAAATTGTTTCAAGAAAGCAGGTTTCCGAAATAACGAAGCTGAATTCGTGTTGGAAGAAGAACCCTCGATACTGCAGTGTTTTTCTGGATATTCTTCCATTGATGACAATGTTGCACCCTACGAAACCTGTTCGATCGAAGATCTTATTCAAGACTAGCTGTGCCCGCGGCGTAGCTCGCGTATACAGGTTTTACATAAAGAATTTGTCGTTTAGGTAAGAGAATATTAAACGATTTATTTCATTACTGTATCAATAAGTGGTAACTAAATAAATCATTATCATCAAAGTTCTAAGTCGTTTATGATAGAGCTTCTGTGTAAACGACGTTAGAAGTAGGCTTAGCCGGGGTGTACACAAAAAGGTTACGGGGGCTACTAACGCGGGAAAAAGCAACATAGAGTTGGCCATGTGCAAAACAGTCAGTACTGAGGTACACTCCTACAACGCGTAAAGTTTGACCTTGAGCTTTATTTACGGTCATCGCATAACACACGCTCACCGTAACTGGGAACTGAACGCGCTTAAAACTGAAAGGAAAGTTACTTCTTAATAGAGGGTTTTTGGGCAGTGCTGCCAGATAAAAAAAAACTCATTCAGCTCTAGGACAACACAAAAAGCGCTACATTTCATGAAAACAGCGTTTTAAAAAGCCCTAGATTTCGCGCTAAATTAACTACAAACAAAGTTTGTGTTTTTTTATATAATCATAATAAAGAAAACAACATTAAGTTTTTTTCTGGCAATATTTTTTGATGTATCAATACTTCGCAGGACATCGACTTATAATTATGGCAATTGCTGTCAACAGTAGTTAGTACTGTACAAACAATAAAAATGTCATTAATTGTTTTAAAGTGCAATGTATTTCGCAACTTAGTTTCAGATGTCAGCATCTGATTGCGGTTGCTACACAGTTTCTTTGTGTTATAACTTCTAAGTAACTTTTAACTTAGCTGTGCTCTAAGCAACTGACTGAAACTGAATAAAGCAAAATAAATGCGTTGCCAAAACCATGAACGAAAACTTTAATAAAGGGGATTTCCCCGCTTATAGTCGTCGGTAAAAAAATCAAGTTGATCATCCTAAAGGGGAAGCCAGGAGATCCATAGCACAGGGTATCCTAGTTTGGACTCGTCTCCCATGCTCTTTGTTTTGTGGAAAAAATATGTTTGAAAAAGATAAACTGCAATGTACTATTTGTGGAAAAAATAATAAAGGTCATTATTATTATTATCGGTAATGTGGACTAACAGTGCTGCTATAAAAGAGTTAATAACCCGCTAGTCGCTAAAATATTGAAATGTGTGCTAAATACACCAAAAAGCGCTGGATTAAGCTAGGTGCTAAAATTTCGAAATGCGCGCTATACTTTCCAAAAAAGCGCTAAATCTAGTTCCCAAAGCGCTAAAATGGCAGTACTGATTTTGCGTATAATATAAACGACATTACGTTGCAAAATTTTTATTTATGGTCGGGTTCCGTTGTATAGCTTCGATGGATACAAATTTCTTCAGTAAAGTTTGTAATTTGTACAACTCCATCTATTACGTCCTTTGTGTGAGAAAACATCCTTTTTAAATCTCTTTTTGTGTTTTAAGTATAAATATATTAATTATTATTGAACGTTTTTTTTACACACAAATCTTTGTATTACTATTTCTGAGATTTTATGGCGCCATTGAACAAATTCGAACCTACATTTCAAAATAATAATCATTACTTTCGATAGAATTAACCAATTTTAATAAAACAAAGATTAAATGTAACTCGAAGATACGCTTTATGATTTTCTTAACGATTTCTTTGAAAATAAAAGATGTTTACTTTAGACGTGATGCGTTCATATAATAACAGACAGACAATTCTAAAAATTATAAAATGTTCTTATTTAATTATTTTCAGTTCCCCATATTGATTTTAACCACCAAAATATATATACAATGTACAGAAAGAGACACAACATGTTATCATCTTTATTATATGTATATATTTAAAGAGAGATGGCGCTGCTAACATCAATTCTAAAAATAAAAGAGATTAATTGACGCGATTGATACATTATATAAAACGCAAGAGAACTTATAAATCAGTGCCTACACATACACAGTAAGCAAAAAATAAAGTTTGACTCTCGCCAAAACCAACGCAATTGTTAATAGCTCTTTTAAAATTTGATTTACCACATAGAGTACTCGGCGGTAAAGAATAAATTGAGTTTGTCAACACGCAGTAGGTCAGCGAGTAATATAATAAAGATTAGCAGTAAATATGAAAACTCATCCAGGCGTGTCACTTTGTAAAAATCTGAGGTATGGAAAATGGTGGCGCGATTTTCAAATTTGTTCGCATTACTCGTGGGGTATTAAGGTTTAAGAGTTTGCAGTGTATATACTCAACTTATTTATTGAACTATAAGATGTGGGGTATTGAGGTTTAAGGGCTTGCGATTTATTTATATGGGGTTTGTAGTAATATGCGATTTATTTCCTAATTTCAGCTATGGAATTCCATACCTTGAAAAACTTGAGGTATGGAGTGCTCCATACCTTCCATAGTGGAAGTGACACCCCTGAACTCATCTACAGGAAAAAACCACATTGCAATTGCGTTACATTTTCACAACACCACCATCTATCGAAGAAATGGGTTAACTATTGTGCTTCAGATTTAGTTAATAAGGTTAATATATTTTTGTATAATATATTTAATGCGTTCTTTAATACTTTTGTTTACTGCGTTTTAGATATACATAATTATATCATTATTTTACATAATTTAACTATGATTTATGATATGATATTAGTTTAAAATGCACTTGATGACTCAAACAAAGCCACCGTTGAGCAAATTCGTACCTATACTTCCCTACTCATACTTCAGAATATTTATCATAACTTTTGATGGAATGAACTGATTTTAATGAAATAAAGACTAAATGTAACCCGAAGATACACTTTATAATTTCCTTAACAATTCTTATGATATAAATTAGTACTTTATACGTGATACGTTAACAAACAAACAGACAGACAGACAGACAGACAGACAGACAGAAAATTCTAAAAATGGTAGAAATGTATTTAATTACTTATTTTTAGTACCCCTCAATCACTTTTATTACAAAAATATAAAATGTACAGACATCTGCTATTTACAGTTTTATTATATGTATATAGATGTGAATAACACCCAAAAAGCGGCCCTAAGTGATGACGATGAAGGTGAAGGAGAGTCAATTCCGATTTTGTCAAACACAGAGGCATTATCAGCAGTAAACGATTTAAGGCGCTATGTATCTTCTTTCGGGAAAAGTGAAGACGCACTGCAAAAGTTAAATTGTATTGAAAGCCTTGTCATTAATAATGCATCAAAATCCTTTCGTCAAACCAAAATAAGTGATTATTCTAAGTAATGTCATTATAAATAATAATTATTGTATTTAAATACATATACATATGCACAACATTATTCCTTTCTAACAAATGTATAAATACGTATACCTATAATTCAATACCTACACAATATTTGTAAATGATGTTTTATTTTTCCTATCCCACACAATACGCTTTCCCGCTTAAGTCGCGATTTTGGCTGGGTCCGTTCAAATTCGTCTTAAGCGGATTTTGCTGTAGTTTTAATCATAGATTTCGTATATTACACCAACACTCATTATAAAAAATAGACTGAGACAAAAATGTCACGACGGCGGTCCAAGAGGGGTGTTAAACTTCGGTGCTTCTAGTGTAAAATAAAACATGTGTTATATTCTTGTGATAAGAGATGAGTTACATAATGGCTAGATAAGGATACTAAACAGAGATACTAGATACACTAGATACACTAGCCTCCTACGGGGGAGTCGAAGGACGTGTAGAGATTGGTTGCTCATTTTGTAAGGAATTAGAACAGCATCCTAATATCGTACTAAAATATCCTACTAATAAGATAAACGTGAAAGTTTGTGAGGATGTATGGACGTTTCTTACTCTTTCACGCAAAAAATACTAAATGGATTTTAATGAAACTTTACTTTTATATATGTAGCTCAAACATCAGAATAACACATAGGCTAAACTTCATAAAGATATTGTGTAAATTGGCCAAAATATAACGATAAATGTTAAGTAAGTCGGCAAAAACCTGTGAACCGATTTAGATGGGACTTTCACTGGCAGATAGCTGAAGTTATAAGGAGTAACTAAGGCTACTTTAATTTTAGGGTCCGCGCAAAATAATTCCATGCCGGCGAAGTCACGGGGAACAGCTAGTAAAAAATATTTCACGTTAAAAGTAGTTATTATTTTATGAAATTTCAGTAATGTATGAAAAATGAAAATGTATGAAGTAAGTATTTCAGGATTATTGTATAGAATAATAAAATAAGAAATGTTTTAAGTGTAATTTTATGGATAGAATAGCGAAATAATAATAAAATTGTATAAGAAAATTCAAGTTGAATTAAAGCTTATTAATGCTGCTTAAAGGTTTTAATTTGTGAATTAAACGATTGTATTGTTTAATATATTCATGTTTATTAATAAAGATCATTCTTTTGAATATGTATAATAGATATATAAGATTTATGACTCCGAAAATAGTTTGTAAAATTATTGTATTGAATCATTTTAATATTCTTTTATGTGATATTAATGTTTTAATTATTATTGTAATGTGTCTTTTTTGTACTTTTTGTGAAATGTAATTATGTAACGACATTCTTTTTGATAATAAAGTTATGGGTTCAAATATGTGATATTAAAAATCAGTATTCAATTATGTAGAAATGGCGCGCGACGCGCGGTTCTCTTTCGATTATAGCTGTCATAGTAGATACAACAGAAAGCTGGTATTTTGGCAATTCGTTCGGGACCAGCTACCAGTGTCCAGTTTTAATTCAAGAAAGAAAAGCAATTAGGGAAAGTGATAGGAAAATTATAAAGTAGTGAAATTTTCAATATTGCATTTCCAAAGGGGATTTTTATTAATTGTTTAATCCGATGTTTCGTTTAAAGTCATCCAGCGTCGAACCAAGCTACCAGTGATGCAGGTCACTAATGACTGACGTCAAGACCGGGACCATTCCTTATAGTTACAGGTTATATACGTCCCACTGCTAGGCACAGGCCTCCTCTCATTTCTGAGGGTTTTAGGGCAAGGAAGTGTCCGCAACGTTGCCCCAATGCGTGTTGGCGAACTTCACATGTCTTCGAAATACTTTTTTTCTTATTTCTCAGATATACAGGTTTCCTCACGATGTTTTCCTTCACCACCGAGCACATGGTAAATCAGCAATTAAAACTGCAATTAACAATTTCATTGGTGCCGGTGGAGATTGAACCCGGGTTGCTCGCGTACTGTGAAATTTAAAGCAAGCGTACCATCTGAGCTACACGGACCATTCCTTAGGGACCCATAATCTTAGTCGTCTAATATTTTTCTTTTTGAGAGAGGACGGACGAGTTTTCTGTCGAACGTCTACTCAGGAGTCTCGCCCACCTCGTTGTTCACGAACTCATCGTAGTGTGGTATTGGATCTGTGAATAGAAGGTCATTAATTAGTTGATCTCAGCTGCAGGACAGGCGATGAAGACCCCCCGTTCTCTTTCACTAACAGTAATTATACTAACTTTCTATACCCTTCAGACCGAATCACAAAGTGCACGCACTGCACCTTAGCGACAGAAATAGGTAAGAGTGTTACCTACCATTGATACCACTAAACAGACTTCTAGGCATAAAAGAAGAATCAACATCTGATAAATTTCATTGATTATCGAGATATTTAGAAATAGCCTTTACTTGGATTAATTTTAGCTGCTACAACATCTGGTCGCAGTAGATGACGCTATTGTCGAGTTATTAATACATTTTATAACAATTATTTCTTTTTGACATTTCTTCTCCGGTCAGAGGATCCTCGTTTTATAACGGAAATTTTTTTACAGAGTGACAAACAAGAACACAATCCATGTTATGGTTCATATATTTGATTAAATATAAAATACAAATGTTTTACCGCCTTGAGGAATATTATCGAATGTTTCATTAGCAGTAAAAAGGGTCTGCAGTTCTTAGTATTCATCACACAGCAGCATTGCGTTGCTATTTCGCTCTAGTATTTTCCGACCGACCCACCTTGCTGCAGCCATAATACACTGCATTGTGGCTCTACCGCGTGAGAGCAGCAGAAAAATAAATTGACCAGAGATTTTTTTATTACTATGTCTAATTTAAGACATTTAATTTTCCAGTCAAAATATTAAAATTTATTTTATTCACACTATATTGTTAAGGTTTTAGGAGATTTTGATGAAAGCTTAACCCAATGAACAAATAAAGATGATTGTGTGTCTAACCGCCGAAGCGAAATATAAATCTTGAGATTTATATCGCGATCGAAGCACTTGTAACATTGTTTCTACTAATAGTTCAGACATTTAGTACACAAAATCGCACCGCTATTAATTGTTACAACCCACTCAATTAATTTCATAGTAGTAAGAATTGCGATAAGGATAATAATTAAATGATTACTATTTAGTTATACCTATTTATGTTCCCGTGTTCTACCAAGCGTATCCATAGACTGATTTATTTACTATTGTATCGTCACCATAATAGTTAGGCATTCCCGCATCAAATCCCTAACATCGGTCGAGTGTCGCAGCTTGATAAGCAGTCGGTGGGGACCGAACACGGTGACGCAATTTGCTAACGCTACCGGATGCGTTTATGTAATTTATTTTGAGTTAGAGATTAGTCAAAAAGAAATCCTAAAGTTGAATAAATTATATAAAACGGCTATAAGTGCTAAAATCGAGATATATATATATATATAAGCTTGATGTCTAAGCAAATGTACTTGAAATTTCTTCAAAATTTCGAACGGAAAACTAACTACGTGTATGACGGGTCCTTGATTTTATATGAACTTGCTGCATTCGGAATTCCGAATCGGAATATCGAAACGGAATCCCGTGGCGGACCTTAAGTTATAAACAAAAATATAACATCGACGAATTACACGCAGTGAGGCTGCACATATGCATTTTCGTACGGTGAGTGTAGTGTAGAGATAGATATAGATGTATATGGGCCACAGCATCCAATTACCATCAGGTGGACCGTATATGCTCGTTCGTCAACCTTTATTCTAAAATAAAAAGGTTGGTCGGTCCGGCACTAAATTATTTTATCTTCATAAGCTTTTTAACTTTAGCCAAACCGTAGTGGACGACATACTACCTACGATGCTTCACGTTTTATTCACCGAAGAGTTCCTGGTAACGCAGCACTTGAAATTGTAATTACAAAACTCAGTGGTGTCCACGGGGATCAAAATCGGGTTGCGTATTGTGAAATTTAGGTGAAGCTTTTTTCTTCTGAGCTGTTTTAGTAAAATTCCTTAATAAAAGTATAAATAAAAAATTAAAATCAATTGGAGATTGGCCGAGTTTTTGTCTGGCGTGAAATTGAAAGCCTCCCACATAAAAAAAAATTCTAATAGGTATTTACCTGTTAAATTGCCGTTCTGCGGTAGGTACCGGCCATTTCAAATTAAAATAATTTTTGTTTGGCTAAGAATTCTAATTTCCAATTAATTTTATTTTAAAAACATTTTTTCAAAATTAGGCATTTGTTGATTGGTTAGCGTTATGTTTTCATCGCATTTGAATCTTTTTCGTCATCATGGATACGTCAAAAATTCCAGTAATTATGAAATATGAGTACCGTCGTGGCAGCAACGCGGCCCATAACATCTACGACGTTTTCGGTGCGAATATGAAAACTAACGCACCACCTGTTATGTTATTGGTTTGCCCGCTTCCGTTCTGGAAATTTCGACCTGAAATATGAACCTCGTGGTCGTTTTAAAACTTTGGTCGACTGTGACGAATTAAAGGCGATTGTGGAAGCTCATGATACTCAATCTACAGCTGAATTAACAGCAGCTTTCAACGTTAGCGTCAAAACAGCATTTGCGTCAAATTGGCAAGGTAAAAAAGCTTGACAAATAGGTGCCCCACGAACTCAATGATCGCCAGCGCGAAGTAGCGTCGAGACGTACCTTGCACTGCTCGACAGGTACACAAACGAATTTTAAACCACATTGTTACCTGTAACGAAAAATTGATTCTGTTTGACAATCGCAAGCACTCAGCAAGTTGGTTGGATCCTGGTTCAACGCCTAAACAATGCTTTAAACGAAAACTTACCCCTAGAAAAGTGGTGGTCTAGCGCTGGTGTGATTCATCACAGCTTTATACCAAACGGGTGAGCATTACTGTAGATGTGTACTAAGAATTACTGATTACAATGATGAAGAAGCTCGCACGTCTCCAACCAGCTTTGGTCAATCGCTCGTCCCCGCTGTTCATGCATGACCATAGAAAACATTCCGTGTTCTGTGTG